GCTAACCACAAGGTGAGTGGGAGAAGGATCAGATGTGGTAGCACGAAGGCCGGCTCCAACCCGAGTGGCCCCGCCATGGGCAGCGGGAATTTGTCGACCAGGTGCGCGAGGTGTTGCCTCTCGGAGTCCTTGTGCCAACCCACGGCAGTGTAGATTCGGTCGCCCAGTGTTCCAAGGACAGGTCCGTGAACGAGGTAAAGGGCGAAAGAGATGCGGCCGAGATATTGGCAAAATCGTGTCTCGAAGAAGCGCCGCAGCCACCAGATACGAGGGACGCAGGCGACTAGCAAGGTTGCCGCCCAGAACAGGTAGAACCACTTGTAGTCGAAGACAGCCTGTGGCTTCAACAGAGACAGGTAGTACCATCCGCGATTTTCGCGCATCCTGTTGACATCGCCGGTGTACGACGGTACTCCCCCAAGGTACATCGAAATGACGAACAGGTGATAGTAGATGAACGTCTTTGCACCCTTCAGCTTGTCGAAGATTGCGGGTAGCTCGTCCTTCTTTGCAAGCAAGTCGAGGTCGCAAAGCATCATGCCCGCGACAAACATGGCTCCGTACCAGCCATCAGCGATGTACATGAAGTAGAAAGCCAGGCCAGCTTCGCACCACAGTCTTGCGTTTCTGGTGCAACGCGAAAACGCGAGCAGTGCGGTGTAAATGATGACGGACCCCTTCATCTCGACTGGAATAGACCACAGGTGAGGGTTCCAACTGAAGAAAGGACCACCGCCAGCCGTGAACACGAAACTGAAGTTCTTTGCCTCGCAGTACCATGCCCAGACGTCCTCTCTCCAGGTTGACATCCGGTCAATGTTGTCGACCCAGATGTCGAACATGTGGAGAAAGCTCATAAAGATGAACGTCGTGGCTAATAGAGGGAGATAGAGCCGAAGCCATCTTCTGAAGAGAGCTGAGCCAACATTTTCAGCAAGCTTTGCGTGGTCTCCAGCTTGTATGAGACTGAGAGGTTTTGCGGACAGGACGTAGCCCGAAATGACGAAGAAAACGGACACCGAAAAGTGGCCGCCGGTAAAGAAGTGCCTGATTCCGGGGAAGGCGATGAAGTGGAACTTGTTCTCATAACCGAAGGCATTCTCGAAGATGCGATTCTGAACGTGTGGCTCGTGAGCCCACAGTTGGTTGTGATGGATGTAAACCAGGAAGGCAGCGAAGCCCCGGAGACCGTCAAGATATGCGGTCGGCCGCAATGTTTCTGACTGTTTGGTATCTTTGATGGGCCAGAAAAAGGTGCCAAGACTTGAGAGGTTGAGCCGCGATGGTCGTCTCGTCCGAATAAGTGTGGCCGGCTTCCAATCTGACTCTTCCGAGAGCCATTTAGACTTGTCGCACCACGATGGTTTGACTTCGTCCCAGTACGTGCTGTCAAGAATGCCCTCGTTTCTGGGAGACATCTTCACGGAAGACTGATGTGGTAGATGCTGACAACGAAGTGATGCGAGGAGGATGGTTTCGGCCTCAAGTTGTCAACGATGCGTGCCTACAGTCGTGTGCTGCCGCCCGAGGGGGTGATGGTGCAGGAAGAGTGCTTCAACCCTTGCCTGTCCGGCGGAAGACTTGATTTGGGAAAAGAAGGCACAGCTCTTTTCAGTATCCACGGGTCTTGCACGGGCACATCGGCAGTTGTGGAAGCAGAACTGCACTTACACGGCGATCGTCCGGCTTGGCGTAGATCCTGGTGGTCAATTGGCCTGATAAAATCCACATGAATCAGTTCGTTGTCAACGGGTTGTTCGTCCAGAGTTTCACGAGCCAAACAAAAACTCAAAGACCAGCTGAACAATGAAGAAGATTCCGAGGTCAATAACGTGAAGGATGCGGGGTGGCGGGTTGAGTCTAAGACGGCTGGGCAATCAGGCGTCTGGGGGGCCCTGGTCCAATATGCGGGGGATAGACCGGGGTAAAAGTGCGGAGAGCCAAACTTTGACCAACAACGAATTTGATTATTTTAGCTGGCGTGAGATGAAAATCACGAGATTTTCCTCACTCTGACGTAGATGCCATTCGTCGGTTGCGACTGGACCGGGCGTCCCTGGCAGGGCCATCGTGGGCAACGTAGCATTACTCGGCTCAGCTGGGTAGTGTGATCCGGACATGTGAATGACCTCGCCCGGCTCAAGGACTCGGCCGGTTTGAATCCTCTGAGTTGTGAGAAATTTGCTGCCCTCCCTCCTGATTGGGAAGCTTCACCGCGCCTTGCTCCCCTGACTATCGTAGCCGTTGGTGCCGGCATGCGGCGGTGGTCAAGGATCGACCCAATAGACGCTCGAACAAGCTCAACGTCCCGGCGCTATTATGGCGCCAAATGCGGGTGGCCACAAACGAGTGGTCCTCATTTCCTCCCCGCAATCTAGATGGCTTCGATCCACCGTTCTTTTTACTCTCCGCTGCCAGAGGTGGTGGCTGTTCGGGGTTCTTTTGCCAAGGCGAATGAGAGCGAGCACCGTTGAGCACACCTCTCTAGTGTTTCTCGTATTGTGAAGACAGACAAAAAGAAGCAACGGCGAACTTAATTAGACAAATGCAGCGGCGGTGGTGGCGTCACACAGGATGGCGAATCGTCACTCGTTGGATAGTAGGGATGAACACGATGCGACTTCAGCCAGGCGACCTCGGCCCTTCCTCCCACTTCTTGGCCCTTGTATCCCGGCCTGTGATAATGATGCGCCATTGATAGGCGGGTGGGGGATTGGGGGTGGTCGGAAGCGAGTAGGGCAATCCCCGCCTCGGCCACTAGGAATACCTATGGTCGTGTGCCTGCATGTTGGGAGCTCCTCAAATTTCGACATGCATCCTGCTGTTCCTTGTTCTTCTCTTATGCTCGTCGCATCTTCGCCAAAAGCTTGGTCTTAAAGCTTCTTTGGTTGAACACCTCCACGAGACTTCGAGCTTTGGACGACTGCAGTCAACATGTCGTCGCCCATCATGAGTCCATTGAGTCCATTGAGCCCAACAGGCTCCAAGGCAAACATCTTCCGGAATAGGGTTCCAACTCAGTTGCGGCGATGCATTCCCTTGTACATCGCTTGCGTTTGCCTTATACTCCTGATTCTCAACGTCGACATGATCGGTTCAGTGCCCAAGCCGGTCCACCTGTCGAAGCGCAGCGGCACAAGGTCAACACGAGGCTTCCCCAAGAAGATTTGGCAAAGTTGGAAAGTTGCGCCGTTCTCCTTCGAGGGCGAGCAGATTCTTACAGCCAGAACATGGACGGACAAGAACCCCGGCTTCCGTTATGAAGTCCTCACCGACACTAACGACATGGAGTATGTTGAGGAGCACTACGGCCCTGAAGGCCTCGATCGCCCAGACATTGTCGACATATACCGCCATGTCAACGCGACTATCATCAAGGCGGACTTACTGCGATATATGATCATGTACGCGGAAGGCGGTGTCTACGCCGACATTGACGTCGAGGATCTCCGCCCTGTTAGCAGATGGATTCCGGAGAGATACAAGGAGGAGGACCTTGACCTGGTCATCGGTGTCGAGATTGATCAGCCCCATTTCAAGGACCACCCAATTCTCGGCAAGAAGTCAATGTCGTTCTGCCAATGGACTTTCATGTCTCGCCCTCGTCATCCAGTCATGCTGAAGCTGGTTGAGAACATCATGGCATGGCTCACCGACGTCGCCAAGACTCAAGGAGTCTCTATCTCCGAGATCAAACTCGACTTTGACGAGGTCATCAGTGGTACCGGCCCGTCTGCTTTCACCAAGGCAGTTCTGGAAGTCATGTCTTTGAGATCTCGCCAAGGACCCATTACATGGGACACCTTTCACGACATCGACGAGTCTAAGGTGGTCAGCGGCATCTTGGTCCGCGACGTTGAGTCCTTTGCTGCCGGCCAGGGCCACTCCGACTCTGGCAACCACAACTCCAGAGGTGCGCTTGTCAAGCATCATTACCACGCATCGAACTGGCCCAGCCGCCACCCACGCTTCAGGCATCCCATCTTCGGCGAGGTCGAACGCTGCAACTGGAACATCGAGTGCGTCATGAAGTGGGATCAAGACATCGCCGCCTTCAACGCTCTCTCTCCTGATGAACAGAAGCAGAAGGTCGAGGAGCACGAGAACCTACAGAAGTTCCAGCAGAAGCAGAGCGAGCAAAAGCCGATCGAGCAGCCGCTACAGTTTCCTCCGCAACAAGCTCTCCAGCCACCCGCGAACCAAGAGGAACTGAAGTTGAAGTGAAGTAGCGGTCGCGATTTTCTCGACTCAAAAGTTTCGATTGATACGTCCAACATAGACGACGCCACAAAACATTTGCCGCGCCGAGATGCGTAATTCAGCATCACAACTTGGTTGCGGCAGACACGAAGCGCGATGATTGCAAAGCAGTTTTTAAGCAGTTTTTATTTACGCGATTGATGGCGCTCGCCACCCGGCAGATGCCTTGAGCGACACTGGCATAGTCCGATTGCAGTTGCTTTGCAGCCCCTGGGGGCTCTTCGGAGTGAGCAAATGGTCTCCTTCTGCTTGATGGGAAACATGAATACTGGCATGGATAGACAGATATACAGCTGAGGATGATACACATGGAAGCACGCGCGAAGATACCCTTCGAACACCTGTACATACCTTTAGCAGAGAATCTTGGCACTTGTCGCGATGCCGTGAAGCATCGCTGGAATAATGATGATATCATAAGATCAAATAAATAACAATGAATGCTGCAATTGATTCTCATAAGTGTCTTGCCAGAATTACTTGATTATGAAGTGATGGACGCCTATGTGGCTCAGAACTGAAACGGAGTGTCAATTGACCGGCCCGTGAAGCGTCGGAAAGGCGGATTGTGTACAGGGTTTAAATAATAAGTTGATAAAATATGTACATGTAAGCTATATACGAAGTTGATGCGCAGCGTTCACGTAGCCATGAATATTTCATAGCAAATCCCCTATGCACAGCCTCCCTCTCGCCATCTCTGACACAGCCTCGGGTAAGTATGGAGTTGTCATCTCCCATTAGAAAGTCAACTTCTGGCCGGCCTGTCCCGGCACAGTGGCAACGACATTGGCAGAGCCGAGAAGGCTGTAAGAGTATCCGGGCGAGTTGGCGTTCATCGTACCGACGGGAGCAGTGTTGGCAGCACCGCCGAGATCGTTGTCAATGGCCACAGCGTAGCCGACAATATCAGAGTCTTGGGTGGTGATGGGAACCGAGACGTTCTTGAAAACGTTGCTCTGAATGAGGACCTGCGCGCCTTGACGGGTGTTGATGCCAGAGTTTCCGCTGCTTGCTGTCAGTACTGATTCTAAGATGCACTGAGGAGGAGTGGAGGCATACTTGAGATAGTAGGAGTTGTAGATGTGACCAGTGCCGAAGCGCAGAGACGGGCCACGGGAGCCGAAGTTGGCCCAGTAGTTGTGGGCGTAGGTGATGCGGAGATGACCCTTATCCTCGTCTCCGTTGTTCTCGCTGTGGCCAACCAGAGAAGTCTTCCAGTGGTCGTGGAAGTAGGTGCTTGAGAACGTTAGTCTACTTCCTCTTTTTTGGATGAATGTCAATTTACTAGGAGATGGTCATGTAGTCAGCGGCGTGGGAAGCATCCACGAGGCCGTCATAGTAGTCCTTGTCAGAGACCAGAGCACTGGAGAACTCGCAGTGATCAACCCAGACGTTTGTGCTTTGCTATGTGTTGACCAGGAATTAGTCCGTGCGTTACCACTTACAGGCTCAATTGGCTTACCTCAATCTTGAGACCGTCGCCAGTCGAGGCAAGGACGTTGGTTGACTTGATGTTGCGCACAATGATGTTGCTCTGACGACGAGCGTGCAGCCCGATGCCATCAAAACCTGAACTTGTCAGCAACTATGTTTGAAAATAGCTTTTGATATGGCTTACCAGCTCCAGGGAGGCCAATGACAGACTTGTTGCTACCGATGCGGACGTTGGCGGTACCCTTGATGACGCCCTTGACAACGACAATCTTGGCAGCCGTGTCTTTCTCGTTCACAGCGGCGGTGAACTCGGCGAGAGATGATACAGTGGTGACCGTTCCTCCAGCACCACCGGAAGTCCTTCGTAGCTGTAAGCAGTGCCAAGTTAATTTGCATTCCTGGTAATACTCACCCTCCATTAAGAGTGGCATAGCCTAGAGTCGCCTTGTCGGAGATTGATGCTCGCTTGACAAGGTGGGGCTTGTCGGCGACATTGTCGACGGTGGGAGTAGGCGTTGCGACTGCGACGCTGGCGAATAGCGTCGCCAAAGCAGAAGTGAACTTCATGGTTGCTTTAGTGTCAAGGGTGGATTGAAGACGAGGTCAAGGATGCCAAGGGGGTCTAGAACCACTTTGAAGAGCTTAATATTATGAAAGACGTGAAATATGTTTCATGCTACCAGCCGTCCCTTTATATACACGATCTTCGCAGTTCACGATCGGGCCCTTTTCCGTCTACATAACAGGGGTCTTCTTATCACGGCATCGCATTACACACCCTGGTGATTGCGACATGACTTCGTTGACTGGCTGGAAGTATTTCCACTCTCTGAGGAATGGTGAGGCTCATGGAATTAGAGGGTAACATTGCAAGACGGAAGCGACGAACCTTCTCGTTCCGCGAATGGTAGCGCGCGGGCTCATCAAATCTCGAATACCCCCTCAAAATGTTTCCTCCACTTGCCTGACAGCATCGGTCGAAGGAACCCCTGCTCCGTGGATGATAAGCTGCTAGAACGGGAGGGTTTACTCAGCCTAACGCCGTCATGCCGAGCGGGTCGACCAAATACCTAAAAAGGAGCTTGTCAACAAGCTTTTGTTTTGTTACCACCTTGTTTATTTGGTGGGGAGATGACTGTGTCATGTTAAGAGATCTCAATGGAGAGATGGGGTGGTCCGGGGTTGACGTTGGAGAAATTTCCTCAAATCAGCATTTCGCCTCGATTGGGGGGTGCAGGTACCGGCACTATCCGGGGCACAGGGTGTCTATACCACAATGAGAAACACATAGTCCAACAAAAACCTTTCATTGGGTAGAATTGGTATTCCACTGTCGAGCTGACGACGGAAAATGACCTATTCTGTTGGGCTACGGTCTCTGTGGACGGGATACCGACGGACAAGTTTTTCCCGCCGTGGGGAAAAGTGACAAGATGACCAAGGCAAGAACCTCGTTGTATCTTCTGAGGTTCATGTGGCACACGGCATTAAGAGTATATCGAAGCATCTGTCACAAATGCCAGTCTCAACGACTGTCAATACCACGTCGTCGTGGGCTCGGATAGCTCAGTCCGTAGAACTTGGCTAGCAATAACTGTAAGATAAGCGGGCGATCTTTATGTCGTTCTTGAGGAGTGTAGCCGATTGGGCGATAGACTTTATGTACAGGCACTTCCAATTACTCATTCATGAAGAAAGCAAGATCAGGGACTAAGCGGACGCAACCAGGCCTGTGACAAATGGATTTGTTGTAGAAGCCCCCAACTGTTGATTCTTTTCACCGATTCGGTACATTTCTTCCCAACAGCCATTCGCGTTTTTCCTTTCTGCTTCATATCCATCGCACTCAATGGCCTCGCGACGTTGAGAATAAGCTCATGTCGACCTAGTTATCTCGGCTCTCACTGCCGATGGGCCTGCGGTACAACCTTGGCGCTTGCTTGGCAAGACTCAATGCTTGTAGACTATCCAGCTAAAGAACTAGACGTTCTCGGATAAGCTTTAGGAAAGAGGGAAAAATGACAGGCACAGTAGACCTAACCAAGGGGGGCTTTCGAGTGAGTGGCATAAATTGAGTGTACCTGACTAGACTTGCATCTGCGTCCCTGGTTCGTGGATTCGTGTTTTCCGATGGTCCTCTTGATCCCACAACAGCTCTATGAAGCCATTTTAAATGCATGCATAACCGATGTAATCTCCCACTTCGGATGAGAATTGTGCTTTCTTCGAGCCTACTTCAAGCCGGGAGCATTGTACCGGAAAGTAGTCCGACTCCACAGCTCGTTACCACACATCTGCAACTCGATTCCCTCCAAGTACTCCTTCAAAGAACCAGAACATCCTTCTTCCAGCCTCTTGTTAACAAGGTCCGCATGGCTTCGTTCCCATTCACGACACATGGTCCACAAAACTCGTTTCGACCCATCATAGTCCAAGCCGGTTTCGTTGGCTAAAACCTGCACAATGTTGGACACGATGGATCCTTCGGCGTTGATGTCTTTGGACGCACGGTATTCCTTGTCCCAACTCAAAATGTCGTTGATGACAGAGATGTGATGCGTGTAGTTTAGCTCGATTTCAGACACGGAGGCTAGTTCTTCCTTCGTGACGGTGATGCCCTGTGAGAAGCGTTGCAAAGCCAGAAGGAGCCTTTAGGGATCATTAGCCATGTGTTAATCATCGCAAGCTACCATGCAATAAGACTCACTGCGAAGCAACGTCAAGCTCTCGATACTCCAGGTACTCTGCAATGCTCTTCTTCGCTAGCCGAGCTTCGGCATTCTGGGAGCGCCAAAATTCAAAGGTGGGCACTTCAACATCATCTGAGAGGGGCTTGTCAATGGCCCTCATCTGTTGCCAAATTTCGAGAACCATCTTCTCGATGGGAGAGTCCTCTGCAGGCAAGGTTTCTCCTTTGACGATGGAAATGAGTCGCTCGTTATATGATGAGCCGTCTTGCAGCGACATATGCTCGAGCAGGTCTAGAGGTTGTCATCAGAATGATGGTTCAATGCTTCAGTGCTGGGATAGTTCCCTCTCGAGCGTTACGCAGGCTTACCGTCAACCAGAAATAGCATCACCGTAAATCGAGACGCGACGACCACTCGGTCATTCAGAGAGGTAGGATACTGGCAGCAGTGCCATGTCGGCAAGCCTTCAGCTACAAACTTGAGTCGGGAACGCTCGTCGGGAAAGGGCCAATTTTGCAGGAAGTAGTTGTTGACAAGCATCGTCACGCTGAGTTCATGAGGGTGAGGACGTCCGACCATATGCGACCGAGGCGGCCGGTTGGTCTGGTCATTTGCACATGCCTCAAGAATGAGCATTTTGTGAACAGATTTCTTTTACAAGACCGTTTGAGAAGGAAGGGAGAGAAAGTTGTTTTGTTCAGACCTAACCTGGGCAAGAGCGATCTCTGAATTCGGGAACGTAGCCTTTATACCTTGGACTAGCCGTGTTCGTCAAGGTTTGTATGCATGAACACGAATTCTGCAAGGCTCGTTGATTCTCTCAAAAGTCTCGGTGGCCACAAGCAGGCGAATAGCGCGTTATTTCAAAGCTCGGGCGCCATTATTCGCCCGGCTACCCGGAATTCTATGGCAACGTTACTGGTAAATGCCCTGAGTTGCCATCCTTCATGTCGACACCCGCTGATGGAGCCAATTACCGTGTCCGAAAGCCAATGACTAGCCTCAATCAGTTACGCAACGGGCCTCTTAACATGGGCGGCGTCGCCATTGGTGCTCGATCCCAATGTTTGAAAGGCTTTAGAAACAATAAAGAAACTAGTGCGCATGATGTTTGCTTCTCAACTGTTGGGTATGACGGGGGTTGGTGGCTTGCGCAAACAAGTTGGCTACTATCGGCAATGTTGGCTGTTGAATCAGTAGCGGTATACCAAGACTTCTGGCGTTGTGTGCCTGATTTAATAGTCGATCGCGCCAAGATTGCCGTATTTGACGTGCAACGACCCGTTGAACGGGTAAAAGACCAGCTCGCATCGCATGGATGCGAAGCGTTGGAACAAACACGACCCACTCCAGCTTTCATCAGTTTGCGGTGAAGCCACCAGCCCTGCAATGAACTGGGATCATCATGCATTCATTACTGACTGTCACCGAAAAGTCCGCTTCAATCAACGGAACAAGACTCTTTCCTATGCCACTACCTTGACTGCCTGGATGTCCCTGTCACGCCGATCCTCCTGATCGTCGCCGTGATCTCTGCCGGGCATGATGACATAACTGTCAAGTCCGTCTTCCGTTCCATGTCAACAGACAACCGGTATCTTGGGTGCGTATATGTCCCATCCCAGTTTCTCCTCCATTTGAGCCGATGCGACGGAGCCTGGCCATAGCCTGCGTCCAGCATCGCTTGCTCGCTGAAGATACCATAGACTTTGACCGATGTTGCCAAGCCTCAGTTCAATATCGGCCAAATCCTCCATGGCCTGAATAGCGCGCTCATCGTCCATGGCTGAACCCGCCGGAGACTGCAAAGAGTCCACTATTGACTTGCAGATTTCTCTGGCTTCGTCATATTGATACGAGCTAATAAGAACGTGCGAGAGGCTTCGGGCGCACGATCGCGATAGATACGAATCCATCCGCGATGTACATGCATGATTGTAGAGTGCCCTAGCCCGCCGCTCTGCCTCCGTCAGGTTACCAAGTCGTCTAGCTGTGCTGACCAGCATTCTTTGAAGACGACATGCTGTCTGGTGTTCGTATCCCAAGCGTGAACCGAATATGTTCCACGCCTCGAGTAGGGCGATCTCGGATAGCTCGATATCATGGCTATTGTGTAATAGTAAGCCGCATATCTTTGTGACTGGGTGGGTAGGATGTAATTTCGTAGCTGTTAGAGCCCTCAGATATCTCAATGACGCTTGGCGAAGTTCCGGGCATGCTGTTGTGTTGGCAGGAGACAGCACAGCGAACAGTTCCCAGACAAAGTCGAATGACTCGTATGAGATCCCGTGGAGCACCATCTCATCTGCGCTCTCCCATAGCCTGATACCACAAAGGCTTGTGGATTGCGACTTGAGGATGTAGATGGCGTGCTTGACAGTTTCCCAATAGCGTCTGGGATGCCCGGATATACTAGTTGCCAAAGGCTCAAATACGTCAAGTTCTGAGCTGTTCTTCAACTGCTCACTGCAACACTGCCGAACGCTCTGGGTAATTGAAATCGAGGCTTGGCTCTGAAGGTTGACGCCTGCTAGAACATGAAGCTGCAATCTGGTCTCCAGCGGCTTGTTCTCCGAAAAAGCAGTCATGGCTTGAGTGGTTCCTTGGGGTTGCTCCGTTGAATTAAATGACGCCATATTCTCTCGAAGTATGGCTTCGCACTCTTTCATTTCAGTTTTGTGGCATCTCACGATTTTCGACCAATCCCCAGCACTGATATCGGCAACGCTTGCAGAGCTCTTCTGAATCGATTTGATGACTTTCACTTTGTCGGCCTTTTTCATATTCTTCACGACACCCCACTTCCACAAACGAGTTTCGTACATGCGTTTCCTGTAAAGAGTCGCTACCGTCAGCAAGAGCCGTTACATGAATGGCTTCATTTTTGTGTGCAAGATGCAGACACGTACGTTGCTTTGAAGTTATGCCTGTCTTTCATCTCTGTAATCAGAAATTTCATCTTGCTGCTCTTGTAAAGATTGATTATTGTCTGTTTGTAATGCTCCCAATCATTCGACGTCGGCCAAGAATTGTGCTCAATAACACCATCTTGTTTGTTGTTAGCAACAGGTCGCATGGCGATCAGGGCAGGAAACGGCTTCGCGGCACCCCTAGCTGGATGTTGCGTAGGTATCGAGTGACGGTGGCTTTCGGCTAGCCAACAAGCAACATACTTCTATGGAGAGTTGTATAGTGGCTGAAAGGCGAAGACAGATTCGCTGGGAAGCAGATATCTTTACAAGGCAGGGTGGTGGATTGGGCCAGCCACCTTGGCGCCACACGTCTCTGTGAATAAGTCTGCCTGGAGGTTTGATGCCAAGATACGTCATCACTTGGGAACCAGTATAGCAACCACTCAGCCTGTGATTTGAACCCCCTAGCTGCTTCGCTGTGAATGCCCTGCCACCAGAGCATTCATGTCTGCGGCGTAGCAAACGCCACAGCGACTCAACTGTCGACAGGGTAGAAGGTGGCGCAGGAGCAGATCCTTCTACTCTTACAGCTTTCCGAGACAGCTTTTGATCCACGGATCTGAATCTCTCGTGGGTCTAGAACCACGTCCATTCCATTGTCGCGAAGCTCTCGGTCCCGAGTCGAGGCGAAGGATCCCGAGCGTTGGGGTCGATGCCAACGAATCATATGCTTTACACTCCGTTGCGTTGACAGCGTCCGCCCCCCTTTTTTTTCCCCGCTTATGCAAAAACATGAAAAAAAGCCAATTTTACGCTGTGACGCGCATTTCTCTGCATCGCACGCAAAACGCGTCAAAGTCATCACCAACACCTCAATTGCCGTCAATCACTATAGTCCCAGTAGTATTCAAACGTATAACTACACGATAGAGACATAAGGTGTGTATTTCATGCTTCCGTAGCAGTCAATCTACCCATCGAGGCATTGCCAACCCAGCTAGTCACCTCATCCCCATACCATTCGACCAACAAAAGGTCTATTTTCGTCATGAGAGATCAAGATGACATTTGCTGAGGAACAGAAGAAGAGACCTGCTGTATGACTTTATATATCTACTCAGCATACGGTTTGTATGGCTCTGAGTAATATATAAGCATACCAAGGGGCTTGATACGGTTCTTCAGAGCAAATGCTTTGGCAGTCAACAGGATTAATGACTCTCCTGATAGCTCAGCTTGTTCACGATATTGAGCAAGAGTCTACTGCTGTATAGATTGTGCCCTGTTACTTACAGTTTGCCGCTGGTCAGTACATGTCCGTGGTTTATTATATCAGATACATCGAGAAAGACGCCGGGCGACGACGACGATACAATGGCGCCCAGAATATCGAATCTACAGCTATCGACGATCGCGATGATACTGCCATTCGAAGACCAAAAGACCCACGAGCTGGCAAGTATCGTTGGCTGTACCGAACGAACGATTCGACGACATAGATCACGACGTAATATCACTGGCGAAGTGCAGAGATATAAGAGGTGCCGCCAGAGTCGACAAAAGATGGAAATATGGCATCGTACAGAGCTTCTTGAACTACTGCAGTACCGCAGCGATCTATCTCTTGAAGAGATGCAAGATTTCCTATTTGAAGCCTTCGAGATCCAGATCAGTCGTTCTGCAATCAGTCGACAGTTAAACTCAGCTGGCTGGACGAACAAGAAGTCCAAGATTATTGCTGCTCAGCGAAGTGACGAACTACGATACGAGTACTTGTACCGTATACGACGATATCGCCCCGACCAGCTGGTATTCGTCGACGAATCCGGCGTCAATAAGGATACTGGGATACGGAGGACTGGATGGGCGCCGAAAGGGCTTGCTGCGTTTCGAACTGCAGAGATTGATCGGTTTCAGAACTCTCGCGTACAGATCCTGCCAGCCCTCACGTTGAGCGGTATCCTACACTTGACTACGTATTATGGTACGACTGACGGCGATGGGTTCTTTCGTTGGCTACAGGAGTGCCTTATCCCGAAATGTGGGCGTTTTCCAGAGCCAAACTCTGTCATCGTTATGGATAACCTCTCCTGCCATCGTATACCTGAAATCGAGGGTTTATGCCGGGTATCAGGTGTCCATCTCGAGTTTCTGCCTCCGTATTCACCAGACTTCAACCCCATCGAAGAGTACTTCGGCGATCTAAAGCGATACATCAGGAAGACGTATTCGAAGTGGAACAACGATGAGAATGACACTCGGGATTTCATGGAATATCTACGTGACTGCGCTATGGAGATTGGGTATCGTCTACCCCAGATCGAGGGCCATTTCCGCCATTCGTTCGTCAACTTTGATGGGACAGAGCATATATTTGACGATATCGAACTATAAAAGGGAGGATTTGCTGCCAATATTGAACATCAGCAAGCAATCCAAATTTTCATCGTGCGTTCGCGCGCAATAGATCTTAATCGTGTCGTCATATGATGGTCAATCATCAAATCCATGATTGTAGCCAACAAGATTGCCAAAAGGTTAGCCACAAGCGCACCAGAACACAAAAAATATACCGTCGTCCATTGTTTTCGTCGGTAGCTACGTATACATATCAATTTTGCCTGTATAACGGCTGAAACGCGTTGTTGATGCTTGTGACGATGATTTGTGATGATGACACGTCATCACGATCAGAGACTTCAACCATAGTCAGAGACTTCAACTGCCCCTAACCAGTATCGGGATGGACCGAAGTGTATTGTTTGCAGATCCAAAATAACAGTAATTCTATTGCTTTTATACGTATAGAGCGGCAGTGTTGAATCTACGGCTATGGGTAGACTTTTCCGTGGTTGAACACGTCATGCAAAAAAATCGCGCATACAGTCAAACTTCACACCACTCTTGCTGTATCACTCTTCTTCGTTATCCTCCTCCGAGTAATACGTCTCTGTTGACGACGTATCACTCGAGATTTCAATCTGATTGTCCTCATCGCCTTGCTCGATTTCGTCTTGTTCGATCTGTAACTGCGTGGGCAGCATCTGCGACGCTGACAGCAGTGGTGACGAAACGAAACCAAAGAGTTCCGAAACGCCTACAAAGTTAGCCATATTCGACAGTAAACAGCTCTATATACACTCACCACGTCGACCAACTTCAACTGGCGTACCACGGATCTCTTGCTCGATGGATTGACGTGGCACTAGGGCGTCGATATGTCGGGATGACCCCAACTCGCCTGAAACTAGCGCCGCAGAGTTTTCAACTGGCGCCGCCGCCGTCCCTCCTGGCAATCCAGCGTATATTCTTGTATAAACATCTCCTTCTGACTCTCGATGGTTTGAATGAAGTTCAGAGTGAGATACCACGTCGGAGAGGGCGTCAGACTGCCCTCCGTAGTAGGCGCTGTTGTCTATGAAGGATTTGATCGAGTTCCTGACATCTTCGGTAAGATCTTGAGTAAAACCCTGTTCAGTAAACCAAATATCTGGTAACTTGCGAATTGCCCGCAAGCTACTGTCTACTGATCGCAGTTTCTGTAGCTTCTTTCTGAACCCTTCGTCGACGTTATATCGCTTGCCGCGGACGGATATAAACCACTTGATGAAGCTGGCCACTTGATCTAGAGCTTTTCGAGGCGAATCCGGTACCACTGGCGAGGACGAACGAATCGGGAGTGCGATACTTGGTTGACGAGTGCTTGGAAGGTTCAATGGCGGAAGAGTTGGCAACGAATACTGTGAGATGTTCGCATATGGCCAATATGCCGGCGGCGGCGGCGCCGGCGGCGGCAGCTGTACGTATGGGTTAGGATATTGAAGATGACGATCTGGCGCCCCCGCGTTGCCGTATATATTGACGATGGCGTTGCTGTTGGCGTTGGTTAGGCCAGATCTTGACCCTGATGATGGAAGTGCGGCATTTTCAGCCTTCTCTTCCGTCATCACTGTCGTCTCCTGGTTATCATCAACCTCCACGATATTCTTACTTCTCTTGCCCTGGCGTTTCTGATCCTCTATAAACTGGTCGTGAAGAATCTCACCAAGCAGTTCTTTAGGTGGTTCCATATTGTCAACGCCAGCCTGTCCAGTCATAATAGCCTTCGCCCACTTCTCTATATGGTGAGATTTGATCTTGTAGTGCTTCTGGCCTAGTATATAGCACCAGTTGAACTTCTCGTCGCCCGAACTATTCTTACATCTCTGGTACTCTGGGCAGATGTGCGTACGGAGAAGTTGTCTGTGCATACCCTCCTTCCGACGCTCGACGTTTGCAGGATCGTTAGCCTCACGATCGATCGCCTCTTGCATGCCGGCTGAAACGCCTGCTCGGCCACCTTTTCGAGGCGTTCGTACGCCAGTCACTATACCACCAGAGATTGGTACGGCGCTGTATTGCCACTTGACGGTGAGGTGGACTTCACCCCTCTCTTCAGCTTGTTCAAGAGAGGGGACAATATCAACCCATGGAATACTTGGCCAAGTGACCCCTCCAGTAGACGGATAGACCCGAGTGAAGATTGGTGTTGGTTTAGATGCGTTGGTGGGCTTCCTCCAAGCAACGACAACAGCGATATTGGCCTTCTTCACAATATACGAGTGAGCCACTTCTGCCTCAAGTTGGGCGCCGCTGTCTGCCTCCCAGTCTCTACTATTCGCATCTAATACAGGAGCAATACTGAATCTGTTATACGCGATGCTCTCGATGGTTAGATCGAGAACAGGTAAACCGTTACCCTTGAGCGCTGGGCCACGGGTAACCTGGATTTGTAGCAGAGTTGGTTCCTCGTTACCCATATCGTCCTCCTCTTCAAATACATCGTGGAACGACATAAACGTATCATCAGCGCTATGGCGAGGGGCCGTAGGCGTATCGTCCGCAAATCGAGTGGTTTGACGAGGGGTTGGGTTAACTGGGGTCGAGTCTGGTCGAAACGGTGGCATCGACGAAGGCAGAGTACTTCGGAGCCGGATCGTATGCGGCGGATCCTTCTTTCGCTTCCTCTGCGTTGTCGTTGCTTTTTGGCGAGAGGACGCTTTTGGAGCTCTTCGTGATGACGGAGGGGCTATAAGTACACGCTTTCTTCGCGATGTAGACTCAGCCGCCACCAAATCATTAGTCTCGGGTCCAGCCTCGGCGACGATAACCTCCTCGGCGGCCTCCTCGGCGGCCTCTTCGGCGGCGGCAGCCCGGCGAGCCCTCTCGGCGGGCGTAACGATCCTGATCGACGGCGAGGCAGAGCGTTGAGGAGGATCTCTGGCGGCGTCCTGTGCCAGTTGTTGTATACGTCGTTGTTTCCGCGTACCGTTGGCGATGGGTGACGGACGATGCCCAGAAGGGTCATCATCCGCCTGCCGAGCCGCGCGGCGGCGTTTAGGAGGCATCACGATGCCCTCAGATAATGAGATTCAATAGAAATAGATCAATTGAAGCCATCAGAATAGGTCAATTGCCGTACTACGAATATCTACGTGGCGTTGGGCAAATTTTCATGTATATACAGGGATTATGCGTGCGTAATTTCGGCAAAAAGGGGGGGCGGACGCTGTCAACGCAACGGAGTGTAGCGTTACGGTGCGATCCTCCCTGCATAGATTGGCCCCCACGCATCCCTTGGCGTAGTAGGGCTACCAATCGCCCTGGACTCTAAGACATTGTATGCATTGTGCTTTTGCTCACGGCGGGTGGGGTTACGATACTATTGGTGAGGTTTGGGTGCTGACCTGGAGATTTCCAGGCAGAAATTGTGTGCTGCAATTATCCGCCCTACATCCCTCCGTCATATTGCATTCCTTTGTAAATCAGAAACAACTTGAGGAGCGAATACTGCTTCAAGACACCTCATGCTGGAAATAGTTACATAGATGAAGTGTACCTGTGATGGGCTGGATATCTCTGGGCGTGCAAATGTCTATTTCCATTTCGAACACCATAGCCTCGTTTTCCCACGAGAGTAATTCGATGATTTTAACCTGGAGGCAAGAAGCAACTTTGACGATATAAGAAGTCTGCATCACATACATATTGTGCAAGACGCATCTGGCTCACCTGCCAACTGACTTATTTCACCATACAATTAGATATCGGAATCTTTCGGCTGATCTAGCGTGTTTGTTTGTTTTTATTCGCATCGCTACCTTCACCCCAGGACACTCCTCTTTGACAAGTCTCAATGGCGAGCAATGAGACGCTGGTTCAAGAGCCAGATAGGAATGAGCACAACGCTCAGTCTCAGCCCGCCGAGAACGGGGAGAAGACCACGAATCCACAACCATCCCGCGTCGCCAGCGAGAGCAGTCCTAGCATTACCACCATCGTCAATGACGAAAACTCGAATCCACAAAGGAGTGTCCAGAATGACCCAGCCGGGAGAGGCACTCCTCTCGTCACCCGATCACGCGCGAGAATGTCAGTTCAGGTGACGGATCGATACGCAGAGAATGCCGCAGCAGCCCCTGACTGGATGAGGAAGACGCTTGTGCGCCATGACATGACGACGCGCTCCGTCGTACAATGGGCCATGGCACCACTGGATAATCCCCGAAGAACTATCTTGGCTCCAATCTTAGCCGCCCTGAGGAGCATGATGACTGCGATCCCTCTGCTCTTTTTCAACTTCGTCCCTAACGCGCTATGTTGGGCAGCGTGGGACCCAAAAGACATTTACGACCCCTACCTCGAGTTCAATGGAAAGTACAACGTCAATGACCCCGACGCTGGGAGAGGGCATTCCGCGCCTTTGGGAGACGATGGCTTATCACATCTCGATGTGCTAGCCCGTCGGACGTATCCATCAAAGCTCCTGCTCAAAGGGGAAGACGGGAAATGGACACCAACGGACACGAATACTGTTAACAAAAGACCAAAATACCTGTTCGTCAGCCATGTTGGGTCGAAAACAAAAGAAGACGAGCTTCAGTACCTCGACACCGCCCAACGACTCGCAGAGAAAGAAGGACTTACGGCAATCTACCTGGACGATTGGTGTTTCACCCGCCACATCAAGCAAAAGGTGAAGAGTGGTGCTCTCTCTGAGAATGAGGGAATCGCAATTACCGATCACCAAATTTGGACTCTATGCGACGTCGTTCGTGGCTCAGCTCAAGTGGCCGTCATCTACCCAGGCGATTCTTCCTCGGAGTCCAAGACGGAGTGGGGCAAGCGGATGTGGACGTTTGTTGAGGGACTCTTGGCTCCCGGCAACTCGATTCTTTTCTCTCCGCGAGACTATGACAGAGAGAAGTTTCCAGACGGTCCACCGGTGGAATCTCTATACAAGGTAGAGATGACAGCGAGTTACTGGAGCGAAAACGATGCTCGAGCATCTCATGAGGGCGGCAGCTCGGCACGGTTGTTGGCTGAATACTTTTCTGGCCAAGTCGTGCTCAGCA